AATGACAATACTCGAACATTGATAAGTTCTGCGAGAAAGTGGTAAGGTTTCCCAGCCGAGTTCAGAAATTTTTTCTCGGGTCACTTTTGCGGTATGAGGCTTGGCGTTATCCTGCAAGAATATCACTTTCCTCCGATTGATCAAAGAAGGCTGTTTCTGGATGAGTGTTGCTTGTACTCGTTGAAGCTGCTCACAATGCAAGTTAGCAGTGATGGTTTGACCCCTTTAGAAAAACTTATAATGGACAATTCCAGTTGCTGTCCACCAAACACACAACAAAACCTTGTTTGGGTCCAAGGAAGCCTTGGGCGTGTGTGATACCGAATTAGTAGGCGACAACCAACCATACGAACGCTTAGAATTCGAATACAAGATCCATTTTTCGTCGCAGGTTAATAACCGATTAAGAAATGGTTCATTAGCGTTGCGTGAAATGTTTGCTGAACAAATGGTAAGACGACTTATTTGTTTATCATTTTTCAGTTCATGTGGGACCCATTTGCTTAACTTCCAGGTATTTCCTAGCTGATGAAGATGCAAACGAATAGTTTCAGAACTCACTCTGAACATTTCTGCAAGTTCTTGGCACGTTGTCCTGGAATTTGCGTCCACAACCTGTCAAAGATCCTCGTTGTTCATGATTTTTGGTCTCCCTGAGCGCGGTCCATCGCTCAAATGAAATTTTCCGAAGACAATTTTTTGAACCACTTCTGTGCTGTTCGATCACTAACGGCATCATCTCCGAATGCGGTACATATTTTTCGCGCCGCCGCTGCAGCTTTTGTACCAATTTCGTACTCATACAGTAAACAACTTCGAATTACTGTTTCATTAGTCGCCATTTTCAATTATTAAAACTAGGTATGTATGTGAGAAAAGAAGGATTCTTACTAAAGTGACAACAGGTAACAAACAATCGCTATCGATCAACAACATCCATGCCAATGAGCGATTATTTGGTTACCTGATATTATTATAAGTATATATGTAGTTTATGTAGAAATACTACCAAAAAAGTATTAATAAAGGAGTAAACACTGTTCACTTTTTTAAAGTACTGTTTATTTGTCTCCTCATACCAAAATATACTTTATTTCTTGTAAAAAAAGTGGACAACCCTATAGGGGGTGGGGCGTTTGACAATGGTATATTTATACGCCTTCAATAACGATACTTCTACGCACCTATTAGTTTGACTCATCATAGAGTTCCCGCTACATTTACCCTTAAAACATATTTCCAACAATCGCGGTCGTACGTTGCAGACGGCAGTCGCTTCCGTACTGCTGTGGGCTGTGGAAGTCAATGTCGCAGAAAGGGAAGGGTTATTCATCAGAAAAAGATAACTTTGTATAAAAGCGTACTGCCTCAAAAACTTTTTGAAGGGCGGGGTAGCATATATCGCCACAAGGATCCTAAAAAGCCCCAAAACTGTACACAAAATCATGCTAAATATGCAAATTTTAATTGTATGATCCGGTCCGACTGACTTGATCCATTCAATTCTTTGTTATACGCATCCTTATTTAACTTTTTTATCAGATGGGCTAACTTGTGCATTTACGAACTGCTGACGGCGTTGCGCGAAAGGTAGAGAGTCAAAATACTTGACGCCATTTTTTACTTAGAGGGCGTGGGTTTAAGCCGTGCACTCTTGCCTAAGCCGTCGCTTGTGTCTAAACAGCCTGCCCCTTTCCGCGTATTGTGATTTTTGCATAACAGACACGGACGTCTGTTCGACAAACCATAAAAAAACCGCCGTCGCGGCGTAAGGGTAAGGGGGTAATTATCGTCAACTGCAACATATTTCCCTATATGAAAGGGCGTACCTATGTCCAGTACATCTATAAATCAAAAAGGACAAAGCTATACAGGCAGGACAATGTCCTGCAAGGTAATAAATATGTTGAGAGTATTGTAATGCGATTGTAAATGCTGGATGTAAGAATTCATGTACGGTCATGGTACAAACCGCACATTTTCGATACAGCTGGACTCCATGTTTTCCGCTTCATTGTCATTCCAGCTACTCTTCCCAGAGATATTCGACATTTTTACTTCCCACGCCTACTGGCGAGAAAGTATTGTAATCGCGAACAATTTCGGAAATGAGATATTGTTTTTTGGGATGTTATACATAACATGTGCATCACGAAAAATCATGTTACTTATTTCCGTCGATCTGTATGTCCTATAACCGCGTAAGGATGAAAACGCTTTGTATCATTTGAGATGTCTAGTTGAGGCGGAGCTAAGGAGCAAAAACACGAAAAAAAATTGCAAAAACTTCGTTTTTTTGTCATTTCAGAGGCTCCTAATCATTTCCAGAAAATTTTTCTGTGTGTGTTGAAAATTGGGGGTTGGTGTTATGGGTGTGGGGGAAGGTATATCTCATTTTGTTGGCAGCAGTACATTTATACGCTTCCAACCCTCGTAATTTTAAGCACCTATCAGTACATATTTCATGCATCAAGGGAATTTTTTCAAAATAAATTTAATATTACATCTGAATCAAATTTCTGGAAATAATAATAACTCTAAAACCTGACAAGGTACTGAACTATGCTTTTTGAGGGAATATCTAATAAAACACGATTATATAGGAAGCATTTATGTAAATTTGTAAACCTAATTGCTGCTTGATTGCAACAAAACTATTTTTTAAGTGATGTATCATTAAGTACCTGTCCAATAAACAGTTTGCAGTCTATTTATAGTCAAATCCAGTCTACCTTACAAGGTCATAGATGATATGCTAAATGTGTACTAGTTGGCTATTGTATTCTTTATTATGTGGAAATCTGTGGTGGGTGTGTATGTTACAATGTAGGTATAATCAACGTATAAAACAATGATTCTAATTTTTATCTTTTTGCTTACAGATACGAAGCTTTATGGCAACATTATGTTTATTTGAGATAATTTGTATGATTATTTGTATAGTGTTTTGAAGCACTCACAAAAATATATACAAAATATTTAGATACAGTCTACTTGTGAAGGTATGATATGGTATACAGGGTGATTCACAAGTCGTGACCAAAAATGAAACATCATACACAGGACCGCATTTTAAGGGAGGGCTTCTATGTAACATTTTTTCCTTCAATAAAACGATACGAGGTGTTGAAGTTTAAAAATAGTTTTTTTAATATCTTCAAAACCGTCAACTGGAATGAACCAAAATTGGTATATGTATGCCAGTTTTTTTTTCGAAACGCGCAATTTTTCGAATTTTGCCTTCAATTTGCTACAAATAATTACCCTTGTAATTTTTTCCTAGATTGCATCGTTTTACACAAATTGGTAAAAACCTTTGTGGTAGGTTGGCGTCTGTTGGAAATCTACGTTGATACTCCCGAGAAACCGCTAAAGCATTTCCATTACAGAATCCGTACACAAAACAAATATCGGCGTATTATTCATCATTGCTAAATTCCATTTCACAACACTCAAAAATGGAAAAAGGAAACTTTTGACTTGACATTTACAAAAAAAAAATGGTACCTAGTACTATCTCCCAAGAAACGTTAAGTTGGTATCAAGACCTCGAATTTTATTTTGGAACTAATTGTATCTCATCTCTTCATGAATGATCTAATTTATTATTGCATTTTATACATTATTCCGAACACCTGTAGTAAAATCAGATTAGGTAAACTAGTAACAATACTAATTTTATATGCAAACGACATAATTCGGTGCATGAATATCATTAAATTATTGATAATGCAATCCACATTTATATGCAATCTCAGGGTACATAAGCCTGTTAAGCAATCAGCAGTTATTTAACAAAAAAAAAGCGAATAACGTGTTCTTACGATATTTAGCATACATTCGTATTTTATTACTGAATGCAGTTACTACCATCAGAGGCATTTTATACCGTTATAATACTGAATTCCTTATAATACTGAATTCGGTTTCTTTCTCTGTCAGACCCGAATATACAGGGTGGTCCGAAATGAATACCCCAAAAAGTAATCCTAGATGTATTAGTAAAATGTCACTTGTTACTGATATACAAAGTGTTAAAGCTCAATTCTCAAAATCGTTTTTACTGTATTACTTAAGCCATTTTACTTTCCACTTTCCAATTGATATATTACGTTTTTTAAATGTTACGTGATATGTACTATGTACATATAAACAAAAAAACCAAGTCACTCACTTCCATCAGTTACTTCTATGCTAAGGACGTAAAAGCTTTGTAGGTTTTGAAAATTGATCCAATGGAGTCGGAAGTGCGGGCATAAACGGAAAAAATTGCTCAAACTTCATTCTTTGATGTTACAAAAACTCCTGACTTGGATGTTCATTAAAGGGGTATGACATCGAGATAGAGGGTTGCAGGGAGTGGCTGAGGGTTTTCTCAATAAAAAATAATGGCACAGTTTATGCAAAAAGGTTATGGCATAAAATAGTGAGATTGCAGGCATTAATAAATACCCTCCTCTAGACGCTGTCTTAAAAAATACTATTTAAAAATACAATATATCGTGTTCCGCACCCTCAGAAGTCTCGCATTTCCAATGCTCATGTTGGTATCACAAAAAGTTTTAGCTATAAAGAAAAACAGATTTTAAAAACTTAGCTTCAACATCATCGTCATATCTCTCTCATTAACGAGCATGGCTTGATATTTTCGTTGATTAGTCAATTTTTAACATAGCGGTTCGTGGGACCTTTAATACAATTAAAATAGTCACTAGTCACTAGTAGGTTTGTCAGTGTTTCAGTCTGGTTACATAGAAACCAGACAGAGCCAAAAGAAAAAAGACAAAACAGAAAAGAATGAAGGAGAAGAGCAAAGAAAAATAAGTGCAACTGTTATGAAGTGTCCTTATTGCAGACCACCCTGTATTCATTATGTCCACACGCTTTCTACCTGCGATAGCGTGCCATAGGGTGTCAACAATAGGACTGCCGACTGTCGACCTTTTAAAGCTCATCCTATGGATGCAACTTTCACCTTTTCGCATGCAACCCAGACTCACCTTCGATGCAAACTACGTGGTCTCGGATCTGCTGGGCTATGATGCCGTCTGGAATAAGGTCTATGAGGTCGTAGATGGCATAAATTGAGGGATGGACACTTTCGAACCGTTGGATTTCCTGCCTGATGGCCAGGGAATTGTTCAGGAACGGTTGCAGATGCACCCGGGAGTTCATCTTCGCGTCAAACTTCTGCACAGGTAAACATTATAACAACAATATCGACGCGTTTTTATAAAAATAGAACGGGCGGTTTGGGTTCATCGCGATTTGAGGCAGCATCACTACGCGAGTCAGGATTTTGCACCACCGCGATTATTCAACGGGAATTTTGGCGGTTTTCTGGAATTATTTGTGGATTTGATTGTAAAACATTGTAAAAATTAATAGGTTAGGTGTAAAGTTACTCCCACTCCCACATCACAACCCACCATTTATGCATTTTCTGCGATGTTGCCAAGTTAAATGTCTATTTCTCCCCAAGCTTTAAAATTGAATCTGCACTCTGATCCGACGTCCAAGTCCACAGAAAGTAATTCTTAAAAAAATATAATAAGATCACCAAGGCCGTGCGAATCATAAAGAGTATTATCAAAAGTAATCACTAGATATTTAAACTACATTCAGACCTTGATGTAATGAGGGGTTTTTTTAGTCTTAAATGTGATGCTTGAAAAATTACTCTCGGATGAAAGTTCTGGCTGTCAATATTCTTGATGTCGACCAAAAATTTCTTGATCTCCATGATCCGATTGCTAAACGAACTTGCTAATCATTACCTTCCTCGTTCAAAAACCCAGTCGTGCATATTATACAGAAGGACTAAAAAATAGCGACACCATTTCTAGGGCAGAAAGTATATAGGCCCAAAACTAACACGGAAGGTTCATATCAACCTAGGTTCTCAAATGCCTCTTGGCCGAGGTACTGTTGAAGTTGCATAACTTCAAAATTGAAATATAATTAATTTCTCTGAATTCTTACAGAGGAAAAAAGAAGTTTATTTTATACGCCACTAACTTTTTAGAAACACCATTTGCATTTTTGGATCTCTTGAAAAATTTGTGTAAAAATTTATTTGAATATTCAAGGTACAATTTGCATATAAACTATAATACGCTTTACTTTGAAACGCGCTGGAGCTAATGACGTTTGACATCAAAAATTGTATGTATCTGACCACAACGTTATTTGAACAATATTCATGTTTTATCCTCAATCATCATTCAACTCTCCCTATATCTCCAAAATGAGGTTTATATGATTTATGTCCTATGTTTATAAGAACTCATATGTTATTTTTTGTGATGTAGAATTATAGCCATTATTTTTAGCCACCCTTTATACATGTGACCCTTTTAGTACCATTGACTTGTAGATGGGCAATCGAGAACTTGTGAAGCAATGATGAATTTATGTATAGTAGGTTCATACTGATAAGCCTCATACAATTCCTGCACTTTATACTATTGATGCTAGTGCATTACATTCTTTTCAGCGTGTATGCGACAAATCTTCATAAATATATATAAATATAAACGTTAAACTAGTTGCATTTTGATTAATGTCTCTATATCTCAGATGAAATACTAGATATGGCAACAGCGGTTCTGCAGAAGCTAGCAAAGGAATGCAAATGATGAAAACAGGTAGATGGCACGAGTATTTATTTTATGGCGCCATCTGCATGTCAAACGTAAGCATACTATGAAAATCGCTACAGTTTTTTTATTACGTTAGTTATAATTAGACATTTTTGACAACAGCTGGCAGCACCATAGCAAGTACGTAGTGGCACCATCTCTTATTGATAATGATAAATATTACAAAATGCAATACAGTTTTTTTCAGCATATTAATTGTTAGTTAGTTATGACTTTCGATTGTAGGTAGGAGCACCATTATAGGGCTACAGTTTTCAAAAATAGTTGATTTACTTTGGTTAGACATCACTATTAAAACATTTTCTGCAATGCCAGACCATTTTTTCTGCAGTTGTACGGAAATAAAAGAAACTCATTTTTCACTGCGTTTGCTCCATGTATCGAAACAAAAGAAAAACCTTTGTTTTATCTCTGGATGAATATCTATGTAAACAAAAGTACCCATAAATTGCGAATTATACAAAGTAAAATAGGATGGAAATCGCGAGAGTCACGAATAACAGAATCGTTCCGAAGGCGCTAGTACTGTTGAACCCACGTTGAGCCGTACAAACTACAGTAGATGCATTTTGAAAATCGAGCTATCGATTAGAGATGATCTTAGCAGCGACTTGCAAGTCGCCGGGATATCGGTGACAGCGACCTTAAAGTCGCCGGTAGATTTAGCAGCGCTTTAGGTCGCTGCTTGTCTATGGTCGCTGCCACCAGCCAGCGACTCCCTGGCGTTGATTAAATTACTCGATATTTGGCGGCGGTTATCCATTGATATTAACGAGGTGCAGATGTTCAGGTTCCTGAAGATTTGAATTAAACTATATTTAAGGTTTTTGTTTTTAACAATATTGAGCACAAAACGAAAACACATAAAATCATAAAAATACATAAAATATCTTTATATGAATCTTAAAAAGTGAAACAAAATACTATTTTACCAGTCAAAATAAAACTTTTAAAACATAACAAATGTAGTATAAAAATGCTTCTTTTATATGTTAAACATTGCTTAATAAACGAAACATTTTTCTATGAAACAGGAAAAATTATACGAAACATAAGATTATTCTGCCCGTCAAAATAAAAGCATTGAAACATAACAAATAAAATAAAATATAAAATCGTGATTATAATCATTGCTAAATAAGTAAATTAAGTATTTTTGTACAGTTCAGAAAAAGTAAAACAACACATGAGATTATTCTGCGAGTTGAAATAGAAGTTTTAAAACATAACAAATATAATACATGAAAATAATGATTTTCTTATAATCTTTATCTTTGCTAACGTAATTTTTTACGAAGTTCGCATTAGCGTTTAAAAAAACCAACATTCGAGCTTTATGTGCTTTCAATCGACTCCGTCTTTCGCTGATGATCAAGCCTGCCTTCGAAAATAACCTCTCGCACGGCACTGAGGTAACTAGAGCACAAAATTTTTCACGGACCACCTCGCTTAAAACTGGGTAGTAGTGGTTAAAATCTCTCCACCACTTACAAGGATCTTCATTACGGGGTAGTAAATCTTCTTCTAAATATCGCTGGACCTCAATTATCGCTTGAGAGGAAGCCGTTGCTTTGGGCTTAGTACTTGAAGAGACAGTTTTTTTAAAGGATCCCCAAACGGATAATTCATCTTCTGACTCACTATCACTACGTTGGTTATTATTTACAGTTTCCTCGAATCTATTTCTAGTTTGTTTTTCCAAAAATTTTGCTGTAACAATGCCAATAATATTTTTTTGACATTACTGCTTAGTTGTTCATTATCAAATACAAGCATTTTAAATCTGGGATCTAAAAATGTGCAAGCAGTAAGGGTGTTACTATGTTCCACAGATTCAAATCTATCGAACAGACCAGAATTTAATTTTAAAACCACTTGGATTACATCTGGATGAAAGTCCTTTTTAGTCAATTTTAGACAAACTGATTTTAAACCATTAACTAAAGGTATAACCAAAGAAGCAGTTGCATATTTCTCGCCACTAATTGTCTTAGTGGCACCTTCAAAATGCTTTAGTATTCGACATAACTGGTCACATATCTCCCACTCTTCTTGCCTTAGCACTGGCAGGTCCTTGTCCAGCACTGCTATGGTACTTTTCAGGTCATCTTTTAGGTCAACAAATCTCTTCAACATATAATATGTCGAATTCCATCTAGTTTTAATATCCTGCAGCAATTTAAGTGGTTCCTTTCCAGAATTTTTTTGTTGAGTCATCAACTTTTCAGTTGATAACGCACTGTGCTTGAAATGTACTACAACAACTTTTATTTTATTTATCAATTCCATTATATTGTCATTTACGGCCAAGGCATTGGAAACTACTAAATTTAATGAGTGGGCAAAACATCCAAAATGTTTCCAGCCGAGCTCCTTAGAAATGGCACCTTTTATGTTTGGAGCATTATCTGACACAGCTAGGATAATCTTGGATTGTAGATTCCAATCTGTAATAATTTCTTTCAGGGTACGAGCCAAATTTACACTTGTGTGTTGAACTTGTGACTCTTTGCAATCTAACAAGACAGATTGCATTTCAAAATTTTCACTGATAAAGTGCGCTGTGACGCCTAAAAAGCTGTCATTATTTTCTGACGTCCAATTGTCAGTCGTTATACATACATATTTCACACCATCCATTATTTCTCTGCATCGATGAAGGCATTCTTCATATTTTGCTGGAATGAGCGATTTTGAAATGGTTTGCCTGTTCGGAATCTCGTATGCAGGATTCAAGGATTCTACAAAACTTCTGAAACCCTGATCCTCGACCATACTGAATGGCTGAAAGTCATTGTAAAACATTTCTAAAAGTTTTTCTGTTATAACTTTGTTTGCACTTACACCTAATTTGTTTGCAATAAAACTTGATATCTTTATTTGATTCGTGATACTTTTTTTCACTAAAGCAGGTTTGCAAATATTTCTAGTCGAAGAAATAGAAGACGTCGACGTAGAAGGTGCAATATAATCGTGATCGGTTTGATCACTAACACAGTCCATCGTAGATTGCTCGGTTCCTTTTCTCGTGCTCAGAACCTGAACTGTTGGGTGATTGGTTTTTAAATGTTTCCTCATGTTTGAGTTTGTCGTTTTGAAGGAAATTCTTTTTTTACATACATTACATTCTGCATAGTTATTTACTTTATCACTTACTGAAAAGAAATTCCAAATATCACTAGTCTTTTGGCGCTTTGACATATTTATAAGGTGCTTGCAACTCACAACAATAACAATAAAAACTAACAAAATAGGTTAGGCTACGCTGTAGCGACCCTGTACTTCCCGCGCGATGATGGTGATGTATATATGCTTCCTGGCAGCGACCGCGACCGAAGCAGCGTTACAGCTACCGATCAGTGGTTACCGATATCGATACTTCCAAACAGCGATCTTAGTCGCTGCTTCATGGAGAATCAGGTCGCCGGGACTAACGGCGACCATTCAAGTCACCGGGAAAGGTCGCCGGTACCGATATATCGATCATCTCACTATCGATCCTAAAATTCTCATCGCTACACTAACCACTCGCCGTAAAATGTCAAATGTCAAGCTCCAACATGTTGCAAAAAAATGGACAAGTGCAATGGCTGTGCTATGTGACTTTGACAGAACAAATATTAACGAAAAAACGTTGAATGGACCTGAAATCTCTTTGTCTGATGCTGATAACTATAGCGACACCATGTCGACGGATAGCGACGAGCTGGACATTCAGCAGGAACTTAGAAATATAGAAAATGTGATCAGTCTGACCCGCACCAACATAGATGCCCTCAATGCGAAATTCGCCGACTTCCAACAGCCCCCGGCTATGTACCTCAAGGAGTATGAGGACCTCACTTCTAAGCTGCACGAATTAGAGATCAAGCGGCGCATGTTGATCGAGCAATTGAGCAGCGGTAGGGAAAGCCCTGAGGACCTGTCTGACCAATGCTACTCGACACAGGAACCTAACAGGCCGCAATATGACACCCTAACAAGGCCTAAGTTCGTTAGGGCGCACTTACCCAATCAGCAGCGAACCAGTGTGCAGGTCAGAGAGGGACTGACTCTTCGAGAAGCCCTATCAAAGGCCATGAAACTACGAAACCTGGTGTGTGAGATATGTTGCGTATATTTAGGGGACTCCAACATCCCTGTTAACTGGGACATTGACATTAGCACGTTGAACTGTGAAGAGATCACTGTGAAGATATTAGATAAGTTCCCGATTCCTCCTACAAGTATTTCTCATAATTTTGTTAGAAAGACATTTTTTTCATTGGTGTTTTGTGAGTGTTGCAGAAGGTTACTCTTTCAAGGGTTTTATTGTAGGACTTGTGGTTATAAATTTCATCAAAGATGCGCTGCTAGGGTGCCATCATTATGTCATCAAGTAAGTATGCAAAGAATAATGTGTATTAAGTATCATACACAAAAATATCAAAACATCGCAAAGTTGTCCTAAATGTGGCAATCAAAACAATTTTGTAAAAAGAAGACTTTTGAACACATCTTGTATTGTACTTTTCTGGAAAATCATGACACAGTCAGTAAGGCAAAAGATAGAGATTCTCATAGAAAAACTCAAGATTAGACAAAAAGTAAGCTTTGTTCCAAAATGTTACCCCATTTTTACCAGAATAGTTACTTTTATCTTTCCTTGCACCATAGTCAGTTTGGAAGAAGACTCATAACTCCTTCCATTTTTAAACAGATCAGATCAACTAAGTCCAAATAATCCATATTAATATCAGAAATCGTGCCACAAGTTAAACTTGTTTAATAACCTCTAGTTAGGGTTAAGTGACAGTTTGAGACTCATTTGTTCCCATTTGAAAATGTATTATTTCAAACCCTTCTGCTGAATATTCATGAATTTTGAGTTGTGATAGTCTTCTTTCAAACTAACGGTATGTTAATTAAACAAAATGTATTTATTTATTTATTCAACTTACGGACGAACCCATTATACATGTGTATTATAAATAGAAAAATGCACTGCAAATGTCACGTAAGTGGCGCTACATATGTGCTAACAGTAACATATAATAGTATATAAGGCAATCAACTGAGATTATCATCATCATCTGCAAAATTTAATACAGATGTTCAAATGAGGAAATGCAATAATCATAAATTCAAGTATTACAAAATCAAAAGACTACTCAAATGTAAACATAGACTTTGATAAATTTCTAACAATATAATTATATAATTTAATAAATATATAATAGTTAGGCCATATCTCAATCATGGATGGTTTTGAAACTTGATTATAGATGAAGCATTTACTATAGTCTTACTTAGCCAATTCTAAGTGTAAACCACTCAGTTTGAAAAAAAATTCTCATCAGCAGTTTGGCCACCTTACGGCATAATTTTTATTGATACCACCTAAGTTGAGGATGAGTTGATAGATTGAAAATTTGTATGTTGCATTTATAGTGTTTTTATTATCTTAAATGTTTCTATGAGGTCCCACCACAGTCTTCTATGCTAAAGTTTGATGTTTGAATTTTTCGAGTCTTATTTCATATGGTAAATGTCTTACTTCTACTGCTAATTTAGGTATATATATTCTTTTCTGATCCATTTTGAATATTTCTAATCTCTATATCTTTCACTTAATAGGGGCTCCATAACCTTGACCATATTCAAGCATGTCTTATACACATAGTTTGAAACTATTTCAGTGTTTAAGTGCTTAAATGCTTGGGAATACAGGAAATTTTGACTGTTGGCTTTTTCAACTACTAAATTTATATGTGTCTTCCACTTCAAATCATTTTTTATAATTACTCCCAAATCCTTTTGCTCAGTCACAGTTTTAACCTCAGTTTGACCAATATAGTAAGAATGCTGAGCATTATTCAGAAAAAATTGAAGAGTCAAGTGGATGATGGAGGTATGTCACAAAACTTAGACACAGCTGAGAGGATGCTTAAAATAATCTCATTTTTCTGAGTTGACCTCTGGATTAATTGAGAAACTTAGATTTACCTTAATTGTCAACTTTTCCATGCCAAAGTCTGTGCTAAGTGAAGATGAAGATAAGTCAACTTGTAACAAAATGTTACGTACCTCTTTCACCTTTATCCATAGGATTCTCTTAATTACCAGGATTTATTTAAAAAATACATCTTAAAAAAACCTGTCAGTAATTGGCATTTTTCTGAAATTGACCCTTAACTTTTGAATCTTCACAGGTGCGTATGGCAGATGCATATTACAGAGCCTTGCTGGCAAGGCCTCCAGAATCTGTAGGTATTATTCATCCTGGGTCAGCTGATATTGGTTTATCTAGACAAGCAAGGCATCCAGGGACCTTAGGGCACCATGATAGGTCCAGTTCAGCCCCTAATGTTTGCCTAAATAGTGTTAAAGGTGGTGGGGATATACTCTATTCTACAAAGTAAGCATTTATCTAAGTATTGCATCAATGGATCAGTGACTTCTTTTTTGAGTTAAAAGACATTAGTATTCACTAGCCTAAAATGTTAAACCACCTCTAGTTATAGTATTACTTTGTAAAATGTAAAAACTTTGAAGGTCTGAAGGCAATGGATCTCCACACTGTCGAAGTACCCAGGCATCTCCAACAGGATCCCTGCAACCTCGCAGGCCTAGGGCAAGATCAGCTGATGAAAGCAAACCTCTTCTAGCGCCTAGAGAAAGTATTGAAGATTGGGAGATTCGGTCTGATGAGATTCTTGTGGGTTCAAGAGTTGGATCTGGGTTAGTAGGAACTTTTATTGGAGAATAAAATATCTTAACCATGAGAAAAATACTTACATCTGTTGTTGATTTTCCTAGATCATTTGGTACTGTGTACAAAGCACATTGGCATGGGCCTGTCGCAGTAAAGATGCTAAATGTGAAGATACCTACAGTTGCACAGTTGCAAGCATTTAAAAATGAGGTTGCTGTATTAAGGAAAACTAGGCATGTTAATATTCTACTTTTCATGGGGTAAGTAATAGCTAAATAAAATTACCATTCAAATTACCCAATGCTTTTTTTAGAATCCTTTTAAAAAAATCAATCATTACATTTTAGAAATTTTGGTTCATCCACATTTCTGTCAAGTTTATATTGCCCATATTGCATCACTTTATACAAGAAAATAAGTTTACACATGCCTAAAAAATTGAACTACTTTCATTATTAATCTTGGGAACACCTCAAAAATTTCAACTAAATTGGGTGGATGTTTGTTTGGTATGGAAACAAAGGATAGTCCGATTTTATTACTACTAAACGTGTGTAGTTCTACGCCTGGCGAATTGCGAGATATTTTGTTTGTACTGAAACAGTTGCATAGGCAGAATCCTAAGGCCCGTATCGTCAGTCGTCCCGACAATTCTAGGGCGCGTTTATGGCCTCCTTGATTGTCATAGTTTTCTACTTCTCCATGTCAGAACTCTATTTTGAGGTTATGTCACAAACATCTATTTGCATCAAATTGTGCTTGCTTTTGAGTTATATCATGTTTTATCAGCCTGAAATTTCCTACAATTTAAAAAGAAAACATATTTTCACAATAGGAGAGCGCTGACGCTGACACGGGACAAGTGTAATCTAGAAATTTTTGAAGGAGAGAAAGGAGTATGACAATCAAGGAGGCCATAAACGCGCCCTACAATTGTAGGGACGACTGACGATACAGGCCTAAATACTAGGGCAGGAAGGGAAAGGCACTTTGTTAATCCAATTTTTGAACTGCCTAAGATTAATAGAACCAGGTAGAGCCTCCTCAGGTAGATTGTTTCACAATCTCGATACTGATGGGGAGTAGTTGTATTGGCCAGTTCTGGATGCACAAAGTTCTTCACAATTAAGATGAGAGGTTGAAATCAGGTAGGTCTGTCTGGCAGGCACAGGCACATCGTGCGGCGGCTTAATGCAGGAGATCTCTGAGGAGCAAAGCCTATTCAAATCGCGGTAGAAGAGAGCTGGATCGCTGTCTGTTAGAGAAGAGTCATTGATCAGTCGGACATCCCTGCTCTGAACATCATCGTGCATTGGTAATGTAGTCTGGACAGCTGCACCCTGAACATGTGAGCAGTACTCAATGCTAGGTCTTATTAGGGCCTTGTACAAAGTGAGAAGGTTATGTGCAGAAAAGTAATTCTTATCCCCAAACAAATAGCCTATCTTTTTCTCAGCAGCTGCCGCTTTTGACGAGATGTGTTCGTGCCAGGTGAAGTCCTCGGTGATATGGTCTCTGATCAGCCGAAATGGACGGCTGTTTTGTAGAACTTGGCCATCCATCGAAACTTGTTGAGCGTTAGGGCGTCTTTGTTAGTCAAGGTTCAGTATGGTGTTTTGGGATGAAGAGGAGAACCCATCAATTACGACAGATATCTTGCTGGCAGAGAGCAAGTCAGCCACCTATCTGGTAGGCGATAGGATGGAAGTTTTCATTCTTATGCAAGCCTCAGCTGATCCAATTCAGTCGTGATATGAAGAGTAACGACATAACACTCATCATAAGATTGGATGAGCTTACTCCACAGTTGCGTGACGTAAGCAAGAAAATCCCCTGTGGATCGTTGGTGTCGGTAACCATACTACTTGTTGCTAATCAAGCCGTGACATTGGAGTTACTCGTGAAGCCCCCGATTCATGCATCTCTCGATCTCCTTACTTATAACAGAAATCAGAGCTCTAGATCTGTAGTTGTAAGGGTCGGTGTTAGATCCTTTTTTTGTATGGGCTGGACATGAGCAAGTTCTAGTTTTTATGGGAATTTTATAATTTCTGGGATATATGGAAGAGACGCGAAAGAACTGGAGCAAGTTTCGCTGCACATCTCTTCAGTACAACGACAGGAATCGTGACCGGACGAGAAGCATTAGTCGATTTTTTAATTATTGCTATTTAATCTTAGGTTTGGTAATAAACTGAACGTAATCTAATTGTAGTTGTATACAAGCACCGTGTCAGTCTGCTTGACACTATTTTTTGTTCGTCAGGTGCGTCAGCAAACCTCAGCTGGCGATAGTCACCCAGTGGTGCGAAGGATCGAGCTTGTACAAGCACCTGCACGTGCACGAGACGAAATTCCAGCTGTTCACATTGATCGAAATCGGTAGGCAAACGGCGCAAGGCATGGATTACCTTCACGCGAAGAACATCATTCACAGGGACCTGAAATCGAACAACATTTTTCTGCACGACGACCTGACGGTGAAGATCGGAGATTTCGGCTTGGCTACGGCGAAAACCAGATGGTCAGGGTCTCAACAGTTCCATCAGCCTACGGGGTCGATTTTGTGGATGGCTCCAGAGGTGAGTCAACTAGACAAAGCAAACATTGAGCTCCAATACAAAAAATCAAACATACAGGGTTTTCCAATATTTTGTGGACATAGAAGTACCACGTACTTTTAGACTCAAAATAAGCCGATTGGACATGATTTACCTGTATGCAAAGTGCTTCGTTTGTCCGGTAGAGGGCGTCAGTCTTTTTTTAAACACCCCTTTAAGATATTTTTGGAACCGATAGTCCGGTTTGAATGAAATTTGGAACACACGTGTTTTGCTAGACGACCTGATATTTGACTTTTACAAAAAAAAAAGGGTTCGAGGAGAATTTTTTCATTTATCTCACACGACACTTTTTATTTAAAAGACCCTTTTATTTACTTCATTATTCGTCTCATAAAAATAAGCCACTTCGGTCGTTTTCGAAAAAAAAAAATGAGTTGCATCAAGAAACTCCGAAGCGTCTTATTAATTCTTTAACTGTAGTTAGCGAAAATAGTAGTTGTAAAAAGTATGATATTACTCATAACACTTTTATTTAATACAGGCAAAAGTGCGAATCTTTCATAAAAGGTGTTCAATATGACCACCATTTGCATTCCTGCACATAACAATACCGTGCAAAAAATTCAACTTTCGTTGTAATACGAACTTTTTTTAGAAAAGAGCTCCGAAAAACATTTCTTTTCTCGAAAACTATGCCAGATGTCCTGTTTTTATAAGAGACAAAAAATGAAGTGAATAAAAGGATCTTCTAAATAAAAAAAATCGATGGGTGGGGGTAGTTTTCACCCCTCTGGACCCTATCAGTTTTTTTTTTGTAAAAGTCCAATATTAGGACGTCTAGCAAAACACGTGTTCCAAATTTCATTCAAATCAGACTATCGCGTCCAAAATTATCTGAAAAAATGTGTTTATAAAAAGAAAACTTTGACGAAGGGAAAAATGATAAACGAAGCACTTTTGCATAGAGGTAAATCATATCCAATCGACATAGGGTTTAAAAATAAGTGGAACTTCTATGTGCACGGACAACCTATAAAACCCATGTTAACGAATTTATTATGTATGTACTATCGCCCAAGGCTTTTTAATAAGTTTTACTTTTTCATTGTTTGACCTACTGACCACTGTCAAGTTTTTGGCAAGATAGATACGATGGAAATGGAAATTCGTCTTTTTCTATAAAGTTCACGTGATGATATCATTTTAAAGCTACTCAGTAAAAACAACCAATTTTGGCAATAAAGCAATGCTTCAAATTGTTCAACTCTTTAGGGGTGCTAATACGTCAACATAAATGCTTGATGATAAATATCGTGTCTGGTTGATAAGCATTGCGAGTTTTTCTTGTAATGAATAAAAAAATATCATTAACGACTTTGGAGGATTTGGTAATGTAAGGCTACATGACCTACGGAAAAATGACACTGGTGTAAACATTTGCTTTGCTAAACTATATTTTTGAGGACTCTAGACTCTGGTCTTCTGTTTGTTGTGTCCACAGTCCATATCTGAAATAACCTTGTGTTCTATTCGGGTTTTTCCCGCATCTATAACTTTAGTGAGGTGTGTTATGATTGATGATATAATCTCCAATTTAGATAACAACCTAGCAACCATTCTTATCTTCCTCAATTCTAGTCAGGCATTCGACACCACATCTGCTTCTGGATAAGTGTACCTATCTTGGATTTTATAAACCGGCACTACGTTTCCTAGCGTCACATTTAAAACACAGTAGGGGTTCTTGTTATGTGGCTGAAGAACCGATCGATCGTGCGCGATCGAAAACGTTATAAAGGCAGCAGTGCACAAAATTTGTCATTTCAACGTACAACCACGTCTTTTGGCTTTAAATGTGCGTAAATCAATGCGGTTTTCATGCAGTATCGTTTATTTTATGTGTTTTTATGTGTCATTGAAGTCTAGCTCCCCTTTCCCAAAAACATCCCCAAAGTGGTGAGTAACGCGAAAGAGTTATTATTTCGTGAAAATTATAATGAAAAAATGCGGTTTTTGCGTTAATCGCATAAGACAAACATACCTCAAGTGTCCTTGAGTGGACATGGCATTAACTCGTGGTTTACCTCCAAAAAAATATATAGATATAAAAAATTACTATGTTGAATCAGATCGGAAACCCGTAATTGTTGAAAATCACCTTACGCCCAAAATTTTTTCGCGGATATCTGGTCAACTTACTGGGTTTACATGCCGTTCGCGCAAAAAAAATTATATTTCAAACAAATTGGCTTACGCCCAAAATTTTTTTGTGCGAATCGTGTTTATTTAACATGTTCTAACTTCCCACCAAGCCGTTTCCCCCAGGGGGGTCCGGAACACCCCGATCCGCACTTCGATCAGAATTCGAAAAAACACCTGTCATTTTTCAAAATCGCTTTACGCCCAAAATTTTTTCACTGATATCCGGTCAACTTAACGTGTTCTAACAGCCCATGATAGTCGATCGCTCGAGCGGGGTCCGGAACATACTTTTTCAGAGTTAGGGTGGGTTTACATGGCGTTCGCGCTAAAAAATTATATTTCAAAAAAATTGGCTTACGCCCAAAATTTTTTTGTGCGAATCGTGTTTATTTAACATGTTCTAACATCCCACCAAGCCGTTTCCCCCAGGGGGGTCCGGAACACCCCGATCCGCACTTCGATCAGAATTCGAAAAAACACCTATCATTTTTCAAAATCGCCTTACGCCCAAAATTTTTTCACTGATATCCGGTCAACTTAACGTGTTCTAACAGCCCATGATAGTCGATCGCTCGAGCGGGGTCCGGAACATACTTTTTCAGAGTTAGGGTGGGTTTATATGGCGTCCTCACTAAAAAAAATATATTTAAAAAAAATTGGCTTACGCCCAAATTTTTTTTGTGCGAATCGTGTTTATTTAACATGTTCTAACATCCCACCAAGCCGTTTCCCCCAGGGGGGTCCGGAACACCCCGATCCGCACTTCGATCAGATTTCGAGAAAACACCTGTCATTTTTCAAAATCGCTTTACGCCCAACATTTTTTCAGTGACATCCGCTCAACTTAACGTGTTCTAACAGCCCATGATAGTCGATCGCTCGAGCGGGGTCCGGAACATACCTTTTCAGAGTTAGGGTGGGTTTACATGGCGTTCGCGCTAAAAAAATTATATTTCAAAAAAATTGGCTTACGCCCAAAATTTTTTTGTGCGAATCGTGTTAATTTAACATGTTCTAACATCCCACCAAGCCGTTTCCCCCAGGGGGGTCCGGAACACCCCGATCCGCACTTCGATCAGAATTCGAAAAAACACCTGTCATTTTTCAAAATCGCTTTACGCCCAAAATTTATTCACTGATATCCGGTCAACTTAACGTGTTCTAACAGCCCATGATAGTCGATCGCTCGAGCGGGGTCTGGAACATACTTTTTCAGAGTTAGGGTGGGTTTATATGGCGTTCGCGCCAAAAAAATTATATTTCAAAAAAATTGGCTTACGCCCAAAATTTTTTTGTGCGAATCGTGTTTATTTCACATGTTCTAACATCCCACCAAGCCGTTTCCCCCAGGGGGGTCCGGAACACCCCGATCCGCACTTCGATCAGATTTCGAGAAAACACCTGTCATTTTTCAAAATCGCTTTACGCCCAAAATTTTTTCACTGATATCCGGTCAACTTAACGTGTTCTAACAGCCCATGATAGTCGATCGCTCGAGCGGGGTCCGGAACATACTTTTTCAGAGTTAGGGTGGGTTTATATGGCGTTCGCGCTAAAAAAATTATATTTCAAAAAAATTGGCTTACGCCCAAAATTTTTTTGTGTGAATCGTGTTTATTTAACATGTTCTAACATCCCACCAAGCCGTTTCCCACAGGGGGGTCCGGAACACCCCGATCCGCACTTCGATCAGAATTCGAAAAAACACTGTCATTTTTCAAAATCGCTTTACGCCCAAAATTTTTTCACTGATATCCGGTCAACTTAATGTGTTCTGATAGCTCATGATCACCTCAGGCGGATGTGAATGTTATTGAATAAACTATACAATATTGGTTTTGTGTATTTGTAATACAGAATGTAACAATATAGTGAAATAAAAGCGATTTTAATAGGTGTATCCGTGTAAGTCGCAGAATGTACACTTAATCAATATTGAACAGGTATTGATTACGGTGAGATGAAATTATCAGTTTCTTTACATGGCCTTATCATTAGCTGAGAGAACCTCATTAGTATGATTATTTTTCAAATCCGTGTATACATATGTTTGTCGACAACCGGGACCAGGTCGCCGATTTAGAATCCCACATCAAAATCTAATACTAATGTAATCACTTTGTGTCCCCAGCAAAGGTACCGGATGCAGGTAGTAAATACGTGCCGTTGGGCTGTTTGCAGGAATGTCGGGGTAATATAGACAATTGTAAGGGAATTTTATGTAATCCTCAGGTTGTAAGCAAAAAGGATACGTACAGGTATAGGTTGTAAAACAAGGATACATATAGGTAAATTTTTATTGGCATAATTTAGTTGTATTTGTGTCGTTGGGCATCTCGGGTTACAGTATTTCTTCAAAATACTGCAATGTCTGCAAACGAATTTCGCGAAAAAGTGAGTGTTGCACGTGTGATATGTGATATCGTGAAGTTGGTGGATGAAGTGAACTAGTGCCTAGGCATATCAAAAATTTCATGTGCGAGCATGGTGGCTATTAACGGTTATATTTAATCGAAAATAACAAAAGGTAAGCAGTACCCGGCCGAAATCGACAATTTCACTATTCTATCAACTGAAATAAAAAATGACAGGGAGATCGTTAAAATATGCGTGTTTTTTGGCATTATATTCTTTTAGGCGCAATCGGAACAATTGTGCTATATATGCCAAATGTACTCGACTCAGTATTTCAAATTTTCTGCGTCCGATATTGGTCGGGCTGGTGATGATGTGCAGTTTCAACAAGCAAGGGGTTCAGAGAATAAACAACTGGCTTAAATATCGTAGTGCCGATTACCAACTAGAGGTGATATCTA